GTGCTGGGTGCTGGGTGCTGTCCTGGGAACGTTCTTGGAGTATTTAGTTCCTGGGCTGCTCTACAACTCTACAGGGGTAGAAGTTAAGCTGTAAAACTGACTATCTGCAGCAAGGCAACGGCATCGTATCTCGTAGAGATGTCTGGTAGAGATTTTTTTTTTTTTTAGTAGCAATAGTTTCTTTTTTTTTAATTTTAATATACTTTAGGAAACAATACACAAAGCTGTGCTTTCCTGCAATTTCCAGATAACAGCAGGAAGTTTCAGTTACACAAATTGAGCATTTTGTGATAGCTTAGAAGAGCAGTCAGCACCAGACTTGAACAGTTAGCTACAACCCAAACATCCTTCCAAATGAAATGTCATAATAGCAAGACAGGTAAACCAGGGTTTATCAAATGACAACCACTTGGGAAGTGACTTAATCATTCTTGTTGAATTTCTTATTTCAATAAATATCTTATACACAATTTCCTTTTAATACGCTTTAAACAAAACCTCCCTTAAGAAATTATTTCAATTATTCAATCAACAAGAATAGCTGAATATTTAGATAGCAGTATCAACTGCATTGTATCTGATAGAGGGATGTCTGGCTCACTTCCTGTTATAGCCCAGGCTGCTATAACAAAATACCATAAACTGGGTGGCTTAAACAGCAGACATTTATTTCTCACAGTTCTGGAGGCTGTGAAGTCCAAGAACAAGGCACCAACAGATTCCACGGCTGACGAGGATCCTCCTGCTGGTTTGCAGGCAGCTATCTTCCCACTGTGTCCTCACATGGTGGGGAAGGAGTGGGCTCCGGTCTCTTCCTCGTCCTAAGGACACTGGTCTCATCCCAGTGGCCCTGCCCTCATGATCTCATCTAAACGTAATTACTTCCCCAGATCTCCACCTTCTAATGCCATCATATTGGGGGTTGGGGCTTCAACACAAGAATGTGATGGGGAGGGCATAAACATTCAGTCCACAACTTCACCTTACAGAAAAGATAACCCACAACATTATACTCTATTGCCTTATAGGATATTAACCAGTTTTGCATCTATTAGCAGATGTATTTCAGCATTTGTGATTGCTTCTGTGTCTGTTCTTCAAATTTCCTTTGAACTGGCCTTAACTAATTACTAGCTCATCACTAATGAATGAGTTTTCACTTTATATCCACCTAAGGGTCAAATTTTTTAGCTTCGGAAAATTATCCTTTGGTATCACGACTTTGTGCACATTGGTTGTAGGAAAGGAAAATGGGTGAATACATTGTGATTGCTGGAACCAGGTTTCTGCTGGCAAAGAATGGGGAGAAGCACGTGGAAAGGGTGGAGAGGAGGAAGACCATGGTGTTGCATTTGGATTGGAGGTATCCTTACTTAAAAAAAATTTTTTTCTGACTCTGCTCACTGAAACACCTAGAAGCAATAACATCTAGGGCCAATGGGCACAGCTAAAGCCCAGATTTTGATTTCTAAATACCATTACTCACTAAAGAAAGAACTATCATTCCTTGAAGATATTATTGTGCCACAGAGAGCATAGAAAGTCAACACCAAAACAAAAGTAGGCGAAATTGCAGGATCTTTATTGCCGGCAGCCACGAAGGACTCACATCTCACTAATGCTTATCTTGACTTCTGTGAACCACTTAAGTAACAATCAGAATGTCTGAAGCCCCTCATCCTCACCCCTGCCCAGGAAGTGGTTTACAGAATGTCTAAAGTCCACTGGCCCTCAGAATGTCCAAAGTCCCTTGCCCCCACCCCTGCCCAGGAGGTGGTTTACAGGCATAAAAGGTCTTGACACCCTCCTTTCACGGCCATGGGTTGGAGAGACGTGAGTCCTCTGTGGCCGCCGGCAATAAAGACCCTGCAGTTTGGCATACTTTTGTCTTGGAGTTGGCTTTCTGTGTTCGCTCTGGTACAACATGATGGCTACTCGCAGATGAGACTAGGAAAGTCCAGGGAGAATGTGGAACACTCTGCTGTGTCATAAATCAAGAAAGGACTCAAAACTGACAGAAATACCACAAAAAGACACTGGAGCCATCTCCGGGATTTCCCACTGGCTGGGTCTGGGATAACTTCAGCAATGAAAAGAACAAAGGCATTATTGAAGTAGAACACACGAAATTTTTAAAAATGAATAACGGTACTGAAAAGAAAGGGCAAAGCTAAAGGAAAGCTCTTCGTTATAGAAAAATATCAGATAATAAGGGTATAATAAATGATCCAGACAAGGATTATCAATGGCAAAAATGGGTGGGGAAACAGGGTATTCATACAATCTCCCTGTATCAATGTGCAGATTACTTATTAATTACAGAGGGGAAATATCTGCCTTTAAAATGGAGAAATGTGGTGACTATCACTGTGAGCAGTTCATTAAATTTAGCATCGCCCACACCAGGACAAACTGGAGGTATGTGCTCCTGATACGACACGCCAGTGACACATCATGGCCAATGCCGTATTCTGGCCAAAAATATACAATGTGCACCTAACTCTGAAGAAAAAATCATGAGTGAATACAAAATCAAAACAACACACAAAAACCTCTGGCACATCAATAAGAAAAGAAATCCCTTCTTATTGGACATTCTCATACCATCGTGGCCTAATCTATGTCCCAGCTGTCACCAGCAACTCCTGTCCCCATCTGTATTTCCAGCAGGGACCAGATTTTGGAGCTCCATTCTCTTCTCGTCTTGCCATGGAGACCTCTTTACTCAGAGGTCTCAGAGCATTTCAGTCCTGACAGCCAGCTCAGAACCAATGTTCCTCCCATTTTTCTTGTTTTTGTTATGAAATAGAGTCTCCCTTTTTTGCCCAGGCTGGAGTGCAGTGGTGCAATATCGGCTCACTGCAACCTCCGACTCCTGGGTTCAAGTGATTTTCCTGCCTCAGCCTCCCAAGCAGCTGGGACTACAGGCACGCTCCACCACATCTGGCTAGTGTTTTTCGTTTTTGTTTTTGTTTTTCAGCAGAGACAGGGTTTCAGCATATTGGCCAGGCTTGTCTCAAACTCCTGACCTCATGATCTGCCCGCCTCGACCTCCCAAAGTGCTGGGATTACAAGTGTGAGCCACCGTGCCTGGCCCCTCTTCTTTGACTTACATGCCCTTTGCAGTGGGTGTTAGCCCCTGTCCCAAAGCCCAAAGCCATCCTAGACCCCAGCTCTCCTCCATGTCCCACATCACCACCACTGCCACCTGTGCTTCCAGCCACACAGCTCCTGGCCTTCCTGTGCTCTGAGCCCCCTGCTAAGCCCCCAGGATCCTCTTACCCCTGTCATCACTCATGCAGCCTCACGCTACTGAAACACATTTTCTTCCATTGTGCTTAGACCCTCGATGACCTGGTCCCCATCCTCCCCTCTTCTCTCCTAGACACACGCCATACTACAGCCATGTCCACGCACACTGTCCCTAAGACTCGCTGTTCCTGAGAACTGCCTGGCTCCCTCTCAGCCCCATGGCCTTGCGATGCATTGCCTGAAGTGGCCTGCCTCAGACTTTTCCAGCTGACACCCGCTTCCTGCAAGACCTCATCCTGAACGTCAGGCTAGATGAAGTACTCTCGTCCCACAGCACCGAGCTTTGGCAGACAGATGATGCTGGGCGTCGTGTCTGTTTCTCTGGCCCGTGAGCTGCAGAATTACTCAAGGATAGGGCTGCCATGCACTTCTGTATCCTTGGTCCCTGATACGGCAGCTGGCCCATGAGAGGGAATGAATGATGAGACATGATCACCGAATGCCTTACAAAGCCCTTTCACACTCTTGCTGGGGTTTCAAAGCCTGGAATCCTCCATGGAGGTGATGCCTCATGCTCTGAAACCTGAGGAGGTGAAAACATGTTAGCACAACCCATGGCCCTTTCTAAGTTTGGAGAACTCTCCACTCTATTCATCTTGACTGAAAAGTGGGGTGCACAGATCATTCCCACCATGGGGGATGAAACTGCCAGACTGTTTTTTCCAGCTTCCCTGGCCCCTCGCCCATCAGATCCACCCAGGCTGGCTTTGAAGGGACAAGGAGGTCTCCCTTTGGTGACAGCAACAGCCATTTCCCAACCAGAAGCAACATACAGTGTGGCCTGGAGCATTTCCCCCAGCTTCCAGGCCCTGAGTGGAATTCTCAACAACCCCTGACAATCGTGGGAGCTTCCCCTCCTTCCCTCAACACACAAGCACCTGTTCTTCCTGGCTCTGCCACAGGCAGCTTCTTTGCTTACAACTGAGAACTTGACTGATGAAACAGATAGAATCTTTGGAGGCCAAGAAATCTAAAAGGGGTCAGTGCTAAACCTGGCCAAAGCCACAGTACCAAACAAAGTGTGATTATGAAGAGGCAAGCACAGCTTTTGTGTCCTTTAAAAAATGTCCAGAGGAGGAGAGTCACAATGCACTTGCCAATGTTGACATACGTGCCCGTCCTCTCAATGACTATGACGGGGTGAAAGCCACATGCTCGGATACCCGCTCACAAGACGCTCCCACTAATTTAGTCTCACCTTGTTATACGGATACTCGAACAGCTCTCAGAAACACTTCCTGGTGTTTCTTTTAACTCTACAGGTAAAGTGCAAGGTCATCTTCCACATGTGTCTACTTTCATGATTAACTATCACTGAGACACAGGATTGTGTCTCTTCCACTGGTGGGTCTGCCAGCCTCGTGCCACCCCCAGTCTTTGGGAGCAGGACAGAGTGTGAGGCTTCAGGTGAAGCGGTGACAAGGGTGGCAGATTCATATTCAAAACCTTTGGCCAGCATCAGAGCTTGATCTACCTGTTCCGAATTCTGAATGAGTGGGTAAATGCATCGAGTGTCCCAAATGCATAGCGTGTGCCCTCACAGCAATCAGCCCTTCCCTGGCACCCCTTGGTAGCAGGACAGGGTTTCTGATCATTTCCATCCCGATGCATCGCACCGGGAGCCTGAGCTGCCTGGCGGTGGTGCTCTGGCTACAGCTCTGGGAGGGAAGGGGAAAGCCCGCTCTTACCTGCCTGTGCAGCTGTGATTAGGGCTGTGTTCCCCTCGCTGTCCTGCCAGTTGACGTCAACGTGGGGGCACTCTGCTAAGGCCACCACGATATCCACAAAGCCGTGGTAGCAGGCGACAATAAGGCCAGTCTAGAAATGAAGAGGGGAAGCGGGTCAGAGGGGCAGAGCCGGAGCATGGTGGCCAGCACCAGGGACCTCGAGGGGCACCCACTACCCTCCAGGGGGCTGGACAGACAGTGACGGGGACCCGGAGTCCCAATTCTCAGAGATGGTTTAGAGCGAGCCAGCCACTCATTCCTTCTCAAATGTGTGTTGAGGACTGACTCGAGTGAGGGCCTAGGCGTGGAAACATCGGTGGACTATCAAGATCTCAGCCCTCCCGGGGCGTGCTTTCCCCAGAGAGGGAAACGCACCAACTACAGGGCTCGTAGGGAGATAAACATAGAGAAAGGTGCGTGCGTGATGTGGGGCATCTCTGTAGGGAATAGGGTGGTCAGGCTGGGGTTGCCAGAGGTGACGCTGGGGCCCATGTGTGAAAGAGGCAAGGCAATGGGCCACAGGGATACAAAGAGAGGGAAACACCCCAGTGGAGGAAACAGCTTCAGCAAAGGCCCCGAGTCAGGACTGAGCCTGCTCCATCCAGGGAGTAGCCCAGCGGCCAGCGGGGTTAGAGCAGAGTGAGTGAGTGAGAAGAGGAGTGACCCGGGTCCAGGAGGCAACAGGAGGCCTCAGAAGCTGTGGACAGGGCCCTGGGGACCCCGTGAGTAGGGGGAGCATGCTAAGCGGTCCGCTGCCAATCATCTACATCCACTCCGGCTGCTGGGTGGGAAACAGGCTCTGGAAGAACAGGGTGGAGATCGGGGGCTGGTGGGAGGCCACTATGGGGCCAGACAGGTGACAATGGTGTCACATCAGGGTAGGGGCTGCAGTGGGGAGGCAAATTTGAATTCTGGAAAGGAAGATTTGCTGTTAGAATGGAGGTGAGGTTGGATAGAAAAAGAATCCAGGATAACTCCAAAGTTTCGGCTGTAGCAGCTGAGAGGATGCAGTTCCATCAAATGAGAGGGACAGGACGTGGGACAGAGCCGGCGTGGGGACAGATGGTATGCAGACTTCAGTGCACTGTATGAGACTGTCTCTGGACAACCCAGTGGAGATGTCAGGCAGAGAGAGATAGCACGTGAAGTCATGGAGAGAGAAGCAAGCTGGATAGATACACTGAGGGCTGACTTTGGAGATCTAGTAATCACGCTTGATCTTAGCCAAAACGCCGAGAAGCGATGGAGACCTAGTGATTAACTATCACCAAATGTTAAAATCCCAGCTCCCAGTGGGGTGGCGCTAGGAAGTGGGGCTTTGGTGGGGTGATTAGATCTCAAGGGTAGAGCCCCGTAAATGGAATCAGTGTCCCATAAAAGGGACCTCAAGAGTGCTCTTGTGCCTTTCTCCTCCATGTGAGGACATACAGAGAAGTCTGCAGTCTGCACCCTTTGAAGAGAACCCGGGCCGAGTCCCACTGTGCTGGTGCCTTGATCTTGGGCTTCCAGCCTCCAGAACCATGAGAGATAAACTTCCATTCTGTATAAGATCTTGGACTTCCAGCTCCCCAAACCGTGAGGAATCAACTTCCATTCTGAGTAAGCGCCCAGTCGATGGTGTTTCATTGCAGCAGCCCGAGCTGATGAAGAGACCTCGTAACAAAGGAAAACAGCGCAGCCTCAGGTTCACCGCCTCACACACGCAGATACAGTGAGATGCTAAAGTCAACCCAGGGTAGGAGCTAATCAATTTTCACTCTTGGCACTGCCAGCGACACCACCACTGCATGCGGGGCACAGAGTTTACATTGAGAGCAACTCCACAGCAGCTCAGCCCAATTTCTACCAGATTTTTTGTTTGTTTGTTTTTGAGACGGAGTTTTGCTCTTGTTGCCCCGACTGGAGTGCAATGATGCGATCTCATCTCACTGCAACCTCTGCCTCCTGCGTTCAAGCGATTCTCTTGCCTCCGTCTCTCAAGTAGCTGGGATTACAGGCATGTGCCACCATGCCCGGCTAATTTTGTATTTTTAGTAGAGACAGAGTTTCATCATGTTGGTCAGCCTGGTTTCAAACTCCTAACCTCAGGCGATCCACCCACCTCGGTCTCCCAAAGTGCTGGGATTACAGGCGTGAGTCACCGCATCGGCCGATTTTTAATAAGAATATAATTTTTCATTGAACAACGAGAGGACTCAAGTAGCCCTGTCCACTTAATAAGGCTGCTAGTTGCCTCCCCACAGGACTATTAAATCACAAATATTAACATTTTTAAAGTTCTACAGAATACCATTGATTTTCTAACCCTGACATCCAAACCATGGCATAATCAACTCAATAGCTGTTGACCACGGTAAAGGCTCTTTAATATACTCTAGCTTATGCATCCTTTGAAACAGGTCATTCCAGCTATACGGTGAAATGTTTCACAATAATCTAATTTTAAAGAGAAAAGAGTAGGCTGCAGGCAGGCTCTACTTAGAAGCCGCTGAGGTTTTCAGCTTCTCCGGGAATGGAGAGTTTGCTGCCACCTCCAACCTCCCAGCTAACCTATCCGCCTGCGTTCGCATCAGTGCGCCGGAAAACTTGTAAATCCACCCAGGGAGCGCCAGAAAATCATTTTTATCTTCTTTGGATGGAGATATTACTCTAGCATTCTATAGTTTCCTGACTTATGAATAAAATACATTGAACATAATGTAACATCTTCCTTTGCATATATTTACACAAGTAGCTCCATATTTATTGCAGAAAAAGATCCAAAAATCAAAGAAAAAACGTTATAGACCAGACACACACACACACACACACACACACACACACACACACACTTTTCTTTAAATGAAAACAGGACCATTTGCTCTATGTCTTAGGAATGTATCACCAATATCTTCACATCCATAAGAGTAACTGCGCGAAAATTTCTGGTAGATGCAGAGTATTCTATTCTATGTGGAGTAGAATTGTCGTTGTTTAACAAATCCCTATTCTTGGACACTCGGATGATCTGTTTCTCCCTTGTCTTTCTTATGAGTAAAACTGGCAATGAAAACCCCTAGAGCTAAGGCTTTGTGTATTTTGTTTCTTATTTTCTCAGGAGACATTGTAAGAAGCAGTATTTCTGGATTAAAGGAAATAGGTATTTTTGAAAGCTTTTAGCGTATATTGCAAGCCTGTACTTCAGGAAAGCTCCCAGATGGCATCTGCCTCTGCCAGCCCTGACATCCAATCTGCACTTAAAGGGCTCGGGTTAAAAGGAATGTCTTCCCTTGGTGGGTACAGGAGGGACGCTCTCAGGGCTCTGGAAGTATCTGGCTACTGAATTAGGTCTCTTTCAGGGATACTCTCCCCTCCCCTCCTCTCACCCCAACCGGTGAAGGATTCTGTTCTGGACACATAGCCCCTCCTTCTCACCCCACACTCCTCCAGCTTCCTAAAGTAAAACTTCCCAAAATGTGCAGCAGGCACCTGCTGACAGCAACCTCAGGAAGGTTGATACAATATTTAGAATATCACTTTTTTTTTTTGAGACAGAGTTTTGCTCTGTTGCCCAGGCTGGTGTGCGGTGGTGCTATCTTGGCTCACTGCAACCTCTGCTTCCCAGGTTCAAGCGATTCTCCTGCCTCAGCCTCCCGAGTAGCTAGGACTACAGGCACCCCCACTACCAAGATCAGCTAATTTTTGTATTTTTAATAGAGACAGGGTTTCGCCATGTTGGCCAGGCTGATCTCGAACTCCTGACCTTGAATAATATACCCACCTCAGCCTCTCAAAGTGCTGGGATTATAGGTGTGAGCCATGGCACCTGGCCAGAATATCACTTAATATTTTAACAAATTAAATGAGGGAGGCAGGTCGGGTGTGGTGGCTCACATCTATAATTCCAGTACTTTGGGAGGCCAAGATGGGAGGACCACTTGAGGCCAGGAGTTTGAGACCAGCTTGAGCAAGACAGTGAGACCCCATCTCTATAAAAAAATTTTTTTTTTAATTAGCCAGATATAGTAGAACATATCTGTAGTCCCAGCCACTCAGCAGGCTGAGATGGGAGGATTGTTTGTGCCGGGAGGTCAAGGCTGCAGTGAGCTGAGATCATGCCACTGAACTCCAGCCTGGGTGACAAAGCAAAACCCTGTCTCAAAAAAAGTTGGGAGCGGGGGAAGGTTATCATTATCTAAGTACATTAAAGATCTCAACACATACACATGCACACACAGGAAACTGCATAGAAAACATCTAGAAAAACCACACCAAAGTGTAAGATGAATGGGAGGTGTGTGATGATTAATTTCACGTATCAACTTGGCTAGGCCACAGTACCTAGATATTTGGTTAAACATTATTCTAGATATTTCTGTGAAGGTATTCTTTAAATGAGACTGATATTTAAATCAACAGATTGAGTAGACGCCCTCTGTCATGTGAGTGGGCCTCATCCAATCAGTTGAAGACCTTAAGAGAAAAAAGCCTGGCCTCCCCACACCCTGGAAAGAAGAAACTTGACCAGCGGGGCTGCCTTCAGAGTCAAACTGCAACTCTTCCCCAGATCTCCAGGTTTTGAACTTGCCAGCCCCTACAATCATGCACGCCAATTCATTAAAACAAATCTCTCTTTCTCTACATATATGTACACACACACACACACACACACACACACACTTTCTCTGGAGACCCCTGACTAATCCAGGGTGGATGGGGTGGGGAAGGAACACTTTGGAAGAACTACATTCATTCATTCATTCATTCATTCATTCATTTTGAGACCAAGTTTTGCTCTTGTTGCCCAGGCTGGAGTGCAATGGTGAGATCTTGGCTTCCTGTAACCTCTGCCTCCCAGGTTCAAGCCATTCTCCTGCCTCAGCCTCTCCAGTAGCTGTGATGACAGGCATGCGCCACCTCAGCCAGATAATTTTGTATTTTTAGTAGAGACAAGTTTCTCCATGTTGGTTAGGCTGGTCTCAAACTCCCGACCTCAGGTGATCTGCCTGCCTCTGCCACCCAAAGTGCTAGGATTACAGGCATGAGCCACCGTGCCTGCCCACTACTATGTTCACTTTTTACCCCATATGATTCTGTGCAGTTAGAATTCTT